GGCTCCATATCATTGGTTCTCAAGGGACAAGGATTGGGTCAACCTTGGACTACAGCCTCATGAAGTATTTTGGGGAACAGCAGAAGGTCAGTTACCACTGATCATAAAGGCAGCATAAGGATTAGTTGGAGAAAGGCTAAAGGACTCTCATTCTTCCAAACATCAAACTAAGCGTCCTCACTAATTTGTCTTATTTACAGAAGGCTCTACATGAAGATACTTGAAATGTCAAAAAGGACAACAGTATCCACAATATGGGAGAAAAATTACCCAATCCCAAATATTAGCATGTTTGTTTCAGTGCAATTTTTCCCCAAACATACACACATGCGTGTAAGTGCATGTGTGTGCATACACATGGGATGAAGAAACAGAAGCAAATTCATTTCTGACACAGAAGGATTGAAAAGAAATTTTCTCCATATTAATTTTCTGGTACTTCCTTATTAGCTTTTTATTTACAACTATTCATAGTATATATTTATTAATTTACACTCTATCTCATTCCAAAAGGATATAAGGTATTATTTTATCCCATATAGTATTAAAAGGTACAGATAATTGAAACCTACAATTAATCCAAAAGATGTCATGTAGCTGAAAGCCAAGAAATGCAGGTTCCAATTCTACTCCTTAAACCAACTAGTTATTTGACATCACAGCACACACTGAGTCTAAGCTTTTACTTGGTCACTTGTAAAATAATGTTAATTGTCTAGAAAATTGCTCTTATGAAATTCTGTGGAATTGTCTATTAACAGATCAGCTTTTCACAAAAGTTATTCTAAGAGGTGCTAACAATTCTTTTGAGTGAAGGTAGGTTTCTTTGCTGTAGGACTTAGGATTAGTATTAGGATTCTCTATTGCCTACTCAACAGCCTTCTGCATCCCTTTCTTCCCTGCTAGTATAACCAATCTTATGTGTACAAAGAGTGAGTGTGAATGAATTAAAACAGCATCTACAATTTAAGTGTTCAATAAATGTTATTAATTAACTAGAATCAAATATTTGTTGAAATCCCAAAACGTGTTAGGAAGTACCATAGGGCTCCTCAAAGGAGACCTGGAAAACTCCTGAACTAGGTGATTTTAAAGTCTAAATGGGCTCTGTGAATATGATTCTTTGCTATTCTACCTGGTGTTTGTTCTACCCTGTCTCTTCTCTTAAATAGACTTAGGTTAGCAATCTCTAGTCTACACAGTAATATGTACTGGCCAACTAAAGAAACATTATAATCTTAAAGTGTTAGAATGATTTGCTAGTTAGGGCTGAGTCAGGGCTTAGTCGTTTAGCATTACATTAGAAAATCCATTACAAAATAAATGGTAGGAAACAATTTGGATGAAGTTGGAATTATGTGTTTGCCCAGTTGATTCAAAATTCGTCTTGCAAATGTAAAAATATATATACCCCATTAGCTTACAGGGTGCAAAACTATGAATCCCTTTTGGTCAGTAGAAAATTTCTTCATCTTTGTATCCCTTCATTGTTGAAGAATTAAGAAATGCATTTATGGTACACTTAACTGTACTATCTTAAAGATTTGGACAAGGTTTCACAAATAAGGGCATATTTGAGCTGGAGTTTAAAAGGTGCATACAATTTCACCAAGTAGAAAAGAGGCAAAGGGGTGAGCCAGGTGAAGGGAACACTAACTACAAAGACACAAAGGTTTGAAAGAAAGTAGCAAATTTAGGGAATGCCAAGTGGCTTGTGGTAGCTGCAGGTTAAGGTGATTGTAGAAGAGTGGCTAGTAATAAAAGCGGGCAGACAAGAAGGGGATAGATCATGAAGAGCCCCTGAATACGAGCTTCCTGCATATTCTGTGTGTAAGTGTTTCAACTTGGAAGATAAAGAAAAGAGGTGGGCCCAACCGCTATCTGCATGTATGGAGGGGGGCGGGAAGGCTGTCAGTTTTTAACAGGATACTGATGATGACTAACTTGTGCTGGAGAAAGATACAAAAATTATACTGAATGTTGAGTGCATTTTTATTTCAGTATCAGTAAAACCTACATTTTTGGTGATTAACATGACCTAATGGTAAGAACATCTAGATTCCCAATATCTGTTAAATGGTAACAGATTATCTTAAGTAAGATAAGCATGCAAACCGATAATGGTTAAATTCCCCATCGTCTTGGATGGATCTCAAGAGCGAGAGAACCAGGGAGAATCAGCCCCGCGTGTGTTGTACCAGCCTGGGCTAATGAGTCCCATGAGAAGTAGAACCAGTTCCAGTGGCCTCTGAGAGCTGAGTGGGGAGCAGAGAGGATGGGCTGGGGCTTTGGGGCTTGGCATTTTATATGCCCCCTGTGGTGAAGAATCGCTGACACACACATGCTACTCCTCCTCTGACTACCCCCTCCCATTCTTTGTCTAAAGAAGGTCTCAGGGTGGGCCTGGCAGCACAACCAGGTCACCTCCCAGAAGAGCCATTCATGGATACTGCGTCTGCTGCCAAGCATATCCCTCCATCCCTGCGAGCCCAAGCCATGACCACACCCTGCCTTGAGGGCAATGAAAGGAAAACAGAATGGGCAGATACCAAAGCTGGTGGCTTTGCTTCTGTCTTTAATTCCTCTATCTGAGAAACTCAATAAATACTTTTTTCTTTGCTTTTAAAGTTCCAGAAATGTAAAGTACTGAGTCTGATAGAACCATGAGAGTAGATAAGGGATGATTTCTTCATCCTTCATCCCTGCCCAAATACCTCCATCTAATTCTGAGGAACTGTCTGCATCAGCTTGCTAATGAGTTTGGACATGGTTCTCCTAGCGGTGGGAAGCCACTGGAAGTTGTTGAGCAGGGGAGTTATATAATCAGCTTTGTGATTTAGAAAGGTAGATCTGGCAGAAGCAGAGATTCGGGAAAGCCGGCCCTGCAAAGAAGGTCAGTTTGAGGCCTCTGTATTAGTCTGATTGATGGGAAAGCTCCGGCCTGCTTCAATGGTCATGGAACATGAAGGCTGAAGAAACTGTGGATGATGGGAAGAAAAGGAAGGAAAAGGATATAATGCCACGGTTTCAGACTGAATGGCTGGAAGGCAACACTGACCACCAAATAGTGAAGGCTGGCCAATCTCACCATTTCATCTGTGACACTAGGTGAAATGGGATTTGAAGCCAAGGAGTTAAGCATTTTCAGAATATTAATATTCAGAATATGAATATGTGATACATATTCACAAAATGACTCTCAGGAAAATGATATCACTGTCTTATTTTACAAAGAGCATATGAAAGACAGCACAGAAAAATTGTTCCTGACACTGGAGCTAGCAAGGGTTCAAATCATAAATTTGCCACCTAACAGCTATGTGACTTTGGAGGAGCTATTTAACTACTCTAGGCCTGTTTCCTCATCTCTTAAATTAGGGAGATAATAGAACCCAACTAAGTATCACGAGGCATAAATGAATTGTTAGGAGTACAGGATTTAGAATACGCGGTGCACTGCCTTGAGTTCTGTGCCTCGCATATAGTCACCACTGAATAAATATTATTTCCTATCTGTGTCTGACCCGAAATCAGTATTGAAGAAGCAGAAAAGTCCACCTTCAAAGATGGGGAACCTCAGCTTACTTTTCTTCCTACGCTGAACGTTATATTGCTCAGATGGTTCAACAAAAGCTGAAAAAGCCAAAGAAAAACAAACATTTTTCCCTGAGAAAGCTCATAAGAGAAAGGTGAAAAAACAAATTCCCAGGCACAGGGGTACTCTGAGGTTCAGCCTTTTGAAGACCACAGTGCTTGCTTATAAATAGAATATTAAAACAAGCAATTTTCTCCTTTCGTCTTCCCTTATTGCCTAATTTTCCTCCCATACTATTTGCATAATGGATAAAAGGCATCCATTATGCAAATGAATGATAGGGCTGTGAGGTTGCTGAAGCCACAAACTTCACTCCAGATGAGGAGAAGCTGCCACAAAGCCCTCCAACGACCGAGTTCCAGCAGAACTGCTCTGCTGGCTTGGTTTCCAAACGATAGAGAAAAATTATGAAGACGACGGGTCATTTAATTTCCACTTGGTTTATTTTAAAAGGGGCACTGTAGATGCTTTCCAGAAAACTAGTACAAAATAAAAATATTCAGTATTGTGGCATGTAAAATAAACTGTATAATGTATTTTGTTTCAAATGGCAAAAATTATACTATGTAAAATTTTTACAATTTTAAGCATATGTTTCCCTTTGCAAAATGGAAAAAAACCTCTGTTCTAGCCTGAGAATTAACCTATAACCGGTGCTTAGAGCTGTCTCAAAATGTATGCATACATTCAACGGGAATAAAAAATGGTTTTAAGTACCAAAATATTAGTGGATTTTCAAAACTTTATGCTGTTAAACTGACCTAAAATTATCTTTAAGAGTTATCACCAATAACTGACATTATTTATCTTGGAGACATAAATTCACTAAAACTTTAGAAGAATGTTTATTTTCTCTTTCTACCAATACCTTCAAAACAAATATAACAAAAGGCAATTCTGAGCAAAATCACCAGGTTGGAATAAATCAGTAGGACAGAATTAGAAACTAACTTCAAAATGTTTTCCCCAAACTCTGAGTTATACAACTTGTGGAGAAGAAAAAGGTGGCTAAAACGGAAAGTGACCTTTTATTTCTAGCCTGGATTCCTTGATAACCCTTAGCTTTTTCCAAGTGACTTTTTTCAGGGACTTTTTAAAAAATTTAAGCAGTCCTCATATGCTACGGATGAAGCTCATCATTTACAGTCCAACTCCTCCCCAGTAACTTCAAGGATATGCAATTCCGATTCACTTGCAATTCAAGAAAAACACTGCATCTATTGCCTGAGCATCAGCAGCCGCAAAGATCTACATTAAAAAAAATAATGTAGAGAAAGACAAACCAGGTTTATGTTTTTAAAGGCAAACACTAACAGGGTAAGTCATAAAGTAGAAGAAACTCATAGCCAGCAAGATGAGGTATTTCAACCAGGTGAAAAGCATACCACTAAAATAATACACCTACCTAATTTCAGAGCAGAAGGGGTTACTTCAATTTCCCCACCAACTGGTTTAAACGCAGCCAGTTGGGCAGCCACTTCCGTCTCAAAAGCATCTGGGCTCTGCCGGCCTGCGGGGTTTCCACTGGGGCTCTCGATCTTGTGGAGTGGTTCTTGTTCGTCAAACACAGCAATCAGCTACAAACAAATCCAACAGCACTAATTACTTTGTAGAACGTGCATATCACATCGACCCTGTATCTAGCTGATTGTGATCTTTATTTGGTTTTGAAAAAAAATGACCTCTTAAAACTGAAAACTTTAATATTATTGTAGCACAACTCTTAATTCAATATTATGCCTAAAAGTGCCATGGCCAAGAAATAATTAATGGTTTGTTTGTATATTCCTGAAATAGAGATCCAATTCTGGCTAACCCTCTGGAAGGAATGAAATGGCCGTCACCTCCCCTCACCACCTTTTCTCATATGCCTAAAAGGACTTCAGTATCTCTTTCATTCAAGAGTGCTGCCAGACATGAAAGTTGGATATGTAGGATTTGAACAACAGACTTACATGGTAGAAGAGGACATTCCAGTTTTAGAGAGGTAAAGACGATAAAATTCCTAACTGTAACTGCCTTTCAGACACAATCATAATAAGTAGAACTGTACATACATGTGTATATTTACACACAATCTGTGTTTATCTTGTACACATAGATATCCCATTTGTATTCATGCCTGCAATTTCGTTATGTTCCTTCATAACTAACTCCATGTTGATTGGTTTAAGTCCAAAGACACTAAACCTCAGAACTTTTAATTATTCCCACCTTCATCTCAATTTTATTTCATATGAGAACTATGCTTCTCGTCATTAATGTAAAAACGTTTAACTGTCCATCTCCAAGTCATTTTTCTTAAAATAGGGGCAACATATAATAAAATAATCAAGTAATTGGGCAAACACTGCTGTATAAATGGCAGACGCAGCCATTGGCGTTCCTGGCCAGCAGACAGCATCACGATAGGAACTTCCAATGGCTCTCATCACCTGATGTGGAAAAGTCCAAGTATGAGTGCAGTAGGCAGCTCAGGGATGTTACTGTCAATCCAATAAAGTGCAGTGAGTGCAAATTTAGAAAACTGCTAGTAAATTTTCAGAAATTTCCATTCATTAAATAAAACAAACCTACTTATCATTCAAACATTTATTTAGGAAAGGCATTCAAAGCCCCATTCATAGGGGAACCTTGTTGGCAGTAGTATTAATAACACCAGTGCAGGGTTAACCAATCAAAACATCATAAAATCCAAGTTCAGTCTTTCAAAAGAAATGAATACAATTAGGGATATGCAAATTGGCTATTCAAAAATAACCTTCATAATTGACTACTCATTTCCAGTATGGAGACTTCTTTAATTGGAAAATCCAACAATCCTCTCACCACGGAAAGAAATGCTACTCCCAAGGCATTATTTTTAATTCTTGAAATTGAGCACATACATTTTCTATTTTTAATTGGTAGCACTGATGAACCGATTTGAGATGACTTAAATGGATTAATAATGAAAGATTATTCTAGTATAAAAATAATCAGGAGAACTATATCTTTCTAATCATCTGGCCAAAATGAAGAGTCTAACACTTTAAATCCTGAAAAGGAAAACAAAATCAACTTTTAAAATGTGATAGAAGTGTTATTTTCATCACTATTCCTGTGACATAATTTCAATTTTACATATTGGTGAATTCTAACACATACTTGTAACATTTATTTTAATATACTAATCAACAAGGCAAAGTGGCTTATTATACTGGTACTACACACAGTTTTGTGTAAGATTTCCCTCTTGCTACATCCTTAAATCTTAGTAGATCCTACGTGCCTGAAATAATGGCAAAAAGAAAAAAAGGGTATCACTCAGAAGTATAGTACAAAAGCTTAAACTTGATAGCTCACAAATAAATCATTATCTACGGCTCTTATGTAACCTTCTCTCCTTAAAATACTTCACTGTTTTCCATACTACTATTATATTCACACAAGGTCAGAGCATATGCAGTAACAATGTTATACCTATTTATCTAATGGGAACACAGGGTAGTCAGAGAGTTTGTTTCCCAAAGTGACAGACTAAACAGTAATCTGTACTAGAATCTAGTCCAATCCAGGGATTCAGACCATACTGTATTTTCCAAAAAAAGCACTGTGAAAAGAGAGGCTACATTATGGAATGTTTACAGCTTGTCCAGGAGGATGTTATACCCTAAAGAAATGTGTATTCTGCTCTTTGGAGATAACAGGCAAATACACGACTTTCTCAAAGATGACAGTGAGACCTGGAGGCTCCCCAAATCTCATCATCTCTTTGATTAATTAATTGCCTAGTCTGTCTCTCAATCTCATGATTGACAGGAATTATCTCCACAGAGCCTACTCTGGATGTCTGGATGAATGGATGGAATAAAGTCTCTACTCCTGGAAAGGAGAGAATCAGCTCCTGAATCTGTGGCACCCAGACAAAGGCACTGGTACCACAAGTGCTGGCTGATAAGAGACTCTTCATCCAGTCTTCATCTCAACATCTACAGTATATCCAGACTTACACTTGCGTCAACACTGATAATTAATTTAAACCCTATGCTGTAGGTCTCTGTTAGCTGTATTACTTGATTCATCAAGAACACCTACTTTCCTGGTGACACAGTTCCTGGTGGAGAGTGTTACAGAGATATGTAATTAACATAAACCACCGTTCTAATCCCTCAACAGAAGGCAGACTGATTTCCAAAGTGTCCAGTGTATGAAAATGGCCTTACTCCACCTTTAAACCCATTCAAAATTACCTTTCCCACAGCGATGAGCTGAACATTTAAAAAAAAAAAAAAAGAGTTATATCTTTATAAAAAATTTTCTGTTAAGGTTCCATTTAAACTAAACTTCTGTGGCATGTGGGAGATTTTCCACTGACACCTTAGGGACTGCGGTAACCTCAACTTTATGCAAAAGGCAAACAGGCAATATTTGATTTGGACGCCTTCCTCTTCTGCTGTCCTATCCATCTTCTGGTGCCCCTTCTGTTCTCCTTATGTGTTGCCAGTATTTTCATGTCACTCAGTACAGCAGTGATATTTTCATAAGACCACACGATCCAAAATGATCTGTTCAAACAGACTTTACTTCCAATCAAAACTCCCATCCCCACAGATCTCTATCAGCATTTAGGCATCTAATCCCCAGATACACACAGGTAGGTCAGTTTACAAATATGCTATTCACCTGCTCGTCAAAAAACCGAAACCAAAAGCAAATCAACCTTCTCAAGACTCACCCCTACTGAAACGGCCCCATTTCCCACCTTCCATCTAAAGCCAAATTTGAAAGCTCTCCATAGAACAGTTTCCAATCTCCGTCCTCCTAGTCTTTCCTGAGGCCCCTCTAGCCAGGCTCTCACCCCTCTCTTCCACTGAAACCGCTCTTATCAAGACCAAAAACAGTCTCCACGGTGCTAAATTCAAAGCCGCGTCTCTGGCTTGATTTTAGGGCACAGTTGATCACTGCTTCCTCCTTAAATGGTTTTCTTCACTTACCTTCCAGAACACCACATTCTCTCAGTTTTGTCCTCAAATCCCTGGCCCCTCCATTAAGTTTCCTTTCACTTATCTCTAAAAACGTTAAAGTGAATACCTCTAAATTTGTGTTGTGATTGAATTTGTCTCATGGCAAAGATATAAGTATATGCTGATAAATTCCATACTTCAATCTCCAACCCAGAGCTTCTTCCTGAAATCCAGGCTCATATGGTCAATTGCCTATCCTATCATGTCAGCAACTGAAAAACTGATCTTCCAAAGCTCTTTCCATAAGCTTTTTACATCCCTAATTAATGGCAATCTATCCTTCTAGTTGCTCAGGCCAAAAGACTTATAGTAATCCTCAATCCCTCTTTCCTTCCCTTTCTCCCCTTCTCTCATACACCGCACACACATCCAATTGGTCAATAAATGTCAAAATATAACCAGACCTTGACCACTTCTTACCCCCTCCACTGTCACCTCTTTGGACCCAGCTCCTATAGCCTCTCCCATGGGTTACTGCAAGGGCTCTGTGATTGGACTCCTTGTTTCCACCCAGGCTCCCTTTCAATCCACTTTCAACACAACAGCCAGTGTGATCTTGCTGAAACCTAAGGCGGATCGCATCTCTCCTCTGATCAGAACCCTGTTATACCTTTCCACCTCACTTGGAATAAAGCCCAAGTCCTTGCAATGCCCTGTATGGTAATGGGCTCCCAGTGAAGGTTCTGACCCCATGTCCTGATGATTCTCTCCCTTGTTCTCAGGATTCTATCCAGCTATGCTATCTTCTTTGTCCCTCTCTGTCTTTACATTTGCTGTTCTCTCTGCCTGACACAGTCTTCCACCAGATACCTGCATGGCTTGTTCCTCGATCCCTCACATTTTTATCAAGCGCCAGGCTTTCACTGGCCACACTATCTCAATTGAAATGCCGCCTCTCCCCCTGCCCCCACTTGTCACACTCCCTTCATTTTTCTTTATAGTATTTGTCACCACTCAATGCTATGTTTTTTTCTTATTTGTCTTATTTATTTGCCTGTCCTCCCTGTAAAACTCCCTAGGAAAGTATACTAGATTATAAGCTCCAAGGAGACAATGATTTTTGTCAATTTTGTTGTTTGCTGTATCCCTAGAACAGTGAATTAGAGATGGTAGGCACCCAACATATATTTGTTGAAATAAACAAGTGAAAAGATGCAAAAAAGGATATGAAACCTAATATAGCAATGAAAGATAGCTAGATTTTTCATGTGTTTTTAAAACGCTAAAATTAATTTTTTAAATGAATGAGTATAAATGACCAATATAAACCTATAAGACACTCAATACATCATCATCATTATTACTGTTGCTTCCGTTTTGTTATGATGGGAGGAGAAATTCCTTACTTTCTATTCAACACCTGGGGTGGGGGTGGGGGTGGGGGCAGAAATGGCTTCTGCTCTTGAAATGGAGATTATTTGTTTTCTTTTCCTTTTCTGGTTCATGTTTGAAAGGGACAATCTGCTGATTTGGTTTCTGAAGGAGTGGAAGAGTTGAACTAGGGTGGATGGTGGATGGAGAGATGGGCAGCGTTAGCAGTTTGGTCCCAGACACCCCCTTGCTTGCTTTCT